ACACAAACCTATATGTATGTATATTTTACGTATTAGCTTAAATATTGTTTTGTTTTTAGCTGCATATTTACATTCATGCATATGTATTTTATTTATATGTATATTTGTTTTGTACTTTTACCCATATTTATATTGTAATTAAACATAAAGAAATGAACTTAAAAATAATTTCGCCTTTTCACGCCTTCACTTACCTTTTACGCGCTCCATGAAGCACATGACATGGTTCCAGCAAAGCGTGAACTAACGTTTTCCCAAGTGACTTATAAAAATTTTAAACCATATTCACTCTTACTTTAAATACATTTACACACTTACAAACATATGTATATCGACTGCTGAGTGGAAGATCGACCTATCTCGGCAGCCAGTTCGAAAACGCCCTATCTCAAAAAACTTTACAAGAACGCCCGATTTCAGAATTTTATTGGAAAATACCCTATCTCAGAATTTGGTTGAAGAACGTCCTATCTAAGAATATGGTTAAAAAACGCCCTATCTCACTTCAAAATTTATTGAAAATGTGCTGATATAAGGCGTTTTTGAATCGGCAGCTGAGATAGGGCGTTTTTGAAATGAATTCTGAAATAAAATTATAGTTTAAAAAACTAAAACCTCCCTATTATAATTGCCATTCGTACTGTCAACAGGTATGTAACTTGAGAATAGAAATCGCTGCATCTTTTAGGCGCATCAATATTACATAGTTACATCTCGAGCTAATAAAAGGAAGGTAAAAAGGCGTTCTTCAACCAAATTCTTAAATAGGCCGTTCTTGAAAACGTTTTTGAGATAGGGCGTTTTCGAACTGGCTGCCGCGATAGGTCGATCTTTCACTCAGCAGTCGATATAGAAGCGATTATTTGTAGATCGTTTATTTCAGAAATTAATTTAAATATGTATGTAAGCAAATTACAACCTAATTTTTGTTCATATTGAAGTAATAAAGATACAAATTAACATCTAATAAAACATCATCGTTGTATGCTAAAAATATTGCGTTTTAATTACTTGTTACGTACTTAAGAAATGGTAAAAAGTTCATGGAATAACTATATATATATGTATGTATGTACTGCGGAATGGTCATTATATTCATTGAGCTGTAACCGCCTAATCTGCTACCACCAGCGGATATTGCGTTGAAGCGTTTGTATTCAGTTGTACGACATGACTAAGCCAACGGAATCCAGTGTTCAGCCTAGGTTAGGTTAGGTTAGGTTAGAGTGGCTGCCCCGCGCAGAACGCGGAGCACACGTGGGCTGGAAAAGCCCGTTGTGATACCACTGGCCGAAGCCATTTGTTTCTTTCCCTCCCTTAGTAATTGAACCACCGAGTGCGTTTTATATAGCACAAAAAGTCGAGAACGTTCGCCGAGTTCAAATCGGCTAAACAATCTACAAAGTACTTGTTGAAGAATTGGTTGCGCATATTGGACAGGGCGGGACAGTGGCAGAGATAGTGTTCGATGGTCTCCACCTCCTCCTCGTCTCTGCAACTGCGACAGAAATCGTTGGTGAGGTATCCCAACCTTTTTCCGTGTGTGCCCATCAGGCAGTGTCCGGTGATTACCCCGACTACTAATCTGAGAGAGGAGCGGTCCAGCCGGGTGAGAGCTATGGATAGCTTTACATCAATCTTTGGCCATATTTGCCTGGTAATATGGCATGTGGTTTCCACAGCCCATCTTATATTTACCTCCTCAACGAGTTTCGCCTTTAGTCTGTGTTTGCAGGAGGTTAGAGGTATGCCCGCATTCGGAGCAGAATTGACTACAGAAAGTTGCGTCCCCCTCCTTGCCAGCTCGTCGGCTAGGCAGTTGCCAGGGATGTCCCTGTGTCCAGGGACCCATACAACAGTCAAGGAGCATTTTGATGCTAGCAGATTGAGAGTATTTCTGCATTCGATGGCTACTTTGGACGTTGCTTCGTTAGAATTGAGAGATTTGATAGCAGCCTGGCTGTCAGAATAGATAGAGATAGGCCGTCCTGGGGGGGCGGAGGTTATAAGCCACCGAGCCGCCTCCATTATGGCGTTTAATTCCGCTTGAAAAACGCTGCAATGGTCCGGTAAGCGAAAACTGAGATTTAGCGCGAGTTCGTCAGAGTAGATCCCGCTACCCACTCTTTTGTTTAGCTTGGAACCATCTGTATATATGGCCGTAGACCCTGGGTTCAGGTCTGTGGCCCTTTCTCACTCGTTCCTCTCTGGGATTCTTGTGGAGAATTTGTTATCTAAACAGAGTAGAGGAGTGGTATAATCTATCTGTCGTAGATTATCCGGTAGAGTTTCAAGTACTTTTGCGTGCCCGAATCTGAGGTCCCTCCACGGCTGGATTGTATTTAGCCTAGCCGCACTACAGCCGGCCTGAAATTTGCCGTAGAGATCCACAGGTGGAAGATTTAAGATTATTTCCAGGGATTTGGTGGGTGTAGTGGGCAGGGCTCCCGTGACGAGCATGGCAGCCGTCCTCTGCACACGTTCCACCTTGGCTCTGGATACGGTGTTGTTTAGAGCAGGCCACCATACGGTGACCCCGTAGAAAAGGATGGGTCTTATCACAGCTGTGTACCTCCAGTGTACTATATGTGATTTTATTCCCCATTTTTTGCCTATAGCCGTTTTGCAGGCATACAGGGCAGTATTGGCCTTCCTGGAGCGGTCTTCAGTGTTTCGCTTCCAGTTCAGCTTCCTGTCCAGAATAACACCAAGGTATTTCACCTCGGTTGAGAGAGTGAGTGCCACCCCGTTTAGGGCGGGAGGTTTGAATAAGGGAGTTTTATACTTCCTTGTGAAAAGTACCATTTCTGTCTTGGCAGGATTGACACTAAGTCCACATTCCTTGGACCAGATGTTTACCAGACCGAGTGCGTTTTGCAACAACTCACTCAGGACCTGAAGATGTTTGCCCGTTGCAACGATTGCTATGTCATCGGCGTACGCTATGACTTGACAACCGGTGCTCTTTAGGCTTAGAAGTATGGTGTTCACTGTTAGATTCCAGAGTAGAGGGGAGAGAACGCCCCCTTGGGGGGTGCCCCTGGTCACATACTTTGTAATGGAACCATCCCCTAGTTCTGATAGAATAGTTCTCTTTCCTAGAAGGAGCTCAACAAAATCCACCAGACCTCGCTGCACCCCCGCCCTAAGAAGGGAGGTAACAACAGACTTCGGGTAGACGTTGTTGAAAGCACCCTCGATATCGAGAAAAACTCCGAGCTTGTATTCCTTTAAGGCCAATCCTTTTTCGATCGTAGCTACGATTTCATGGAGTGCGGTCTCCACGGATTTCCCCTTGGAATATGCATGCTGATTCGAGGAGAGGTTGTCAGCTTTAATATTCCGTCGAATATATTCGTCGATGAGCCTCTCTAGAGTTTTGAGGAAGAACGAGGTGAGGCTTATAGGCCTGAAATCCTTCGGTTTCACATGAGCGGCCTTGCCTCCTTTTGGTATGAATACAACCTTTGCCTTTGTCCACTCGTGTGGTATGTGAGTCAGAGTTAGGCAGGCTGTAAAAATCTGAGAAAGCATGGGACACAGTATGTCTTTAGCTTCCTGTAGTTGAGCGGGAAAGATTCCGTCAAGGCCAGGAGATTTGTAGGGCTGAAAGGACGTTAAAGCCCATTCCACCCTCTCCTCACTTACGATGTCCCCAACGGTATCACCCAGAGACAAGTAGGTCCTAGGACCGGGCGAAAAATCGGGGGTGTCATCTGAGCAGCCCGGGAAGTGAGTGCTCATAAGGACCTCCAGCATTTCGCTACATGATGTCGTCCAGTCACCGTTAGGCTTCTGGATAGAGTTCATACTTGAAGAAGATTTTGAGAGAACTTTCCTCAGCCTGTTGGCTTCTGAGTTCTCTTCTATGTTGTCGCAGAAGTTTTGCCAAGATTCGCGTTTCGCCCTCTTTATGGCCTTCTTGAAAACTTTGAGTGCGTCTTTGTATGGTTGAGTGTTCAGCCTAAAGTCATTTCATTTATCCCTAAAAAAAAAATTAAATATCAAGGAGTTCACTGATGCTGGAGGCAATAAAAAAATGCGTTTCGAAGCTTGTCCTTGGGCTGTTTGGTCTGCGATTTTCGAAGGCTGCAGGCGAACGTACATTCTTAATAGTCAATATCATTATCACGGATAAGCTGCGGACCGTATGCCAATTACGATAGTCGGGCGATTTTACATGTCCGCTGCACCGTTGACGCTCAGGCACGGTGCACATTAGAGCGATACGATAAGTGTCGCTGGCATGCAAGTGAGCACCGTTTTTATCGCTTCCTACCAATTGCTACGTACTCATCATGTCGATATCTCTTTCATATCGCATCGCTTACTGTATCGCGTATCGTATCGCTCTAATGTGCACCGTGACTGAATGTTGCAACCTTGAACCAACCACCTCGACGCTCAAATGCTCCGACAAGGAAACTGTGCAATCCGTGCAATCTGTGCACCGTGCAAGGGCTTTGCAAGACTCAGTGAATACCCCTATTGGTAAAAATGCTTGCAAATATGTTCGCAAAACAACAAAAACTAAGTACAGTTTAATTTTTTGTTTTGTATTCAGTTTATTTCAAGGATTGAAAAATTACAATGGATATTCAAGTGTTGCTTGATATTCTCAAATAATTGAAATCTGCGCTGGTCGTTTTAGTTTTCTTAAATATCCGTCATTCGCAAACATTTTAATAAGAACTTCTTCAAGCATATAAATCTAAATTTCAAACTTTGTATGAACATTTGAAAAACTGCAAACTTCAACAATGTAGCAGCAAAGCTCTAAAGTTGTTGTTAAGCATTTTCTTCCATATAAGAAAAAAAACTATTTAAATGGACGAATTTGAAACTCGCGGGGTTGCCATCAAACAAAAAAATGTTTGCAGTTTTACTATACCGGTTGCATTTTTAAACAAATTTGTCTATTACAAAACTTGAAAAATGCTTTAGTAGATTTTCATTTTGAACCGATCCGGTTTTCGGTTCAGTCTTGGCATTTCAAAATAAAAGCGATGGTTCGCTTCAAAAACAGTTTGCAGCCCTGATTTGCATGCAGCTGTACATCCTTCACTCAATTTTATATCCCTCGAACAATAAGTGCAATTCAAGACCTTTAATTTGAGCCAAGGTAGAAGCCTCTAGGCCCTCTGAGAGCTAAGTTATAACAATTTTAAACCGAACTTCGAAACTGTCGTACTAGTTGTTACTCCGAAATAAGAAAAAAATTGCGTAAAATGTCGAATGAAATTTCGTAGTTTAACTTCAGAATTGTAATAATTTAGCTCTCAAAGGGCCTAGAGACTTGGCTTAAATTAATAGCACTAAAGCTCGAACAACAATCGAGGGATATAAAATTGTGTGAAGGATGCACAGCTGCATGCAAATCATAAAAAATGGATTATATAATGCATTTTTCAAATTGAGGGGTTGAAATTTTATAATATTAGTATATTAAGAAATACAAAAATGTTTTTTTTTTTGTAATACATCTGTTAGATTTTGCATGTTTTTTTTTCGAAGAACACTATTTTTGACCAATTTGTTTTTAGATCAAGAAGTGATTGTGGCTCAATGGCAATATTTTTCCGTGAAAGGCAATTACATTT